CCCGCACACGCGGGGATGAGGGCCGCACGTGCGGGGATGGGTGCCGCACGTGCGGCACTCTGCAGTCCGAAAATCCTTGTTTTTTTTCCTTTTTGGTCTGAAGGTGTATCTCATTTTTGACACTTCTCTCTCTCTCTAAACCATATTTTCCTCTTCCTTCTCTCTAGAAAAACCTCCCCAAACACCTATAGACTTTGATCCTTGCAAATCTTGAGTTGAGAATCATCATCTTCTCCCTCCAATTTTGAAGATCAAGAGTTGGAGCCCCATTTGGTGTGGTGGAAGTCAAGCTCTCTCATCTTTGATTCTAGGGTTTCTTCTTCCCATCTTCTCCAAAACTTTGAGGTAGGGAAATTTCCTTGAGTTATATATATGTTTATGTGGGATTTGGTTGATTTAAAAGTTCCATTAATGATTTTGAAAAGTTTGGTTTGCCTCATAAATGCTAGGGTTTTCAAAAATGGGTTTGATCTCCCTCTCCTCCTAAACCATTTTCTTGAGGATCTTAAACTTACATAATGGGAGGTATTATTTTGAAAAGAAAACTCCTTCAAAGGAGGGGAGAGATGTTTGTTTGATTTTGACTTAAAACCTTAAATTTTGGGTAGTTTTGAAGGATGTAACATGTTTAAGGGCATCTTGTTGTGTACAAATAGAGAGTGAGCTCTCATAATATGTTTAGCAAAAATGACTATTAACTTGTCATCTGAGAGTTCCTACTTTAACATTTTGTTGAACATTGAAAATGCCTTGTAGTGAGAAAATTAATGGTTGTGCAACTTAAATTGTGAAATTTGAAAACATTGGAGTTGATGTTTGAAAGGCATCACACGTAGTCTTCAAGGGACTAATTTGCTGTGAATTGGACATGTTGAGAAATTGTTATTGCTTTAAGTTGAAGGTATGGTCACTGTATGATAAGGTTGAGAAGAAGAATAAATAAGGTAGTAAATTGTTATTGTTGTAGAGATGTTTGAGATGAAGAAATGTAAAGAGATATTTTGCATTGCATCATGTCCCCATTTGATTATCATTATCATTACACATTCTCATCATGTCATTTTGAGAAGGATTACACTATAATGAGAGCTATGAAACTGTGAATGGGGTAAATAAGGTAGTAAGTACGGATTAGGGGGTGTAAATGAATTTTATAAATTGGCCTGAGTATCCATGGTGAAAGACCAAAAAACCGCGCAGATAGGTGTCGAGCCTTCCGGTTAATAGCGGTAAAAATGATAGTCTGGTAGTACTCGTAGAGTCTACTTCCAGATGCCAACCTAGGGATTACCAGTGTCGAATTTTCTATCCCTCGTGATTAAAAAGTTGAAATTTGAGAATTTATGAGACTGTAATTGTAAACGAAGTGCATGGATAATATCTTGAAAGGAGTATTGTGCATTGTATGTACACTTGCATTCAATTTCTGGCCATCTAACATTAATGTATATACTTTGTTTGGTATTTTTCTACTGGGCTTTATGCTCACCCCTATGGGATTTGGTGCAGGTAAGGACGTGGTGATCCCGCCGAGTTGAGAGCGCGGATAATTGTAAAGAGCACATGGCTCTTCTTTTGTTGTGTTTTCTTTTTGTAAAGCCAAGGGCTAACATGTATGGGTCCACTTTTGTGCAACCGGGCTGTTGCATTGGAAGATGTAAGCCCTTAAGGGGCATTTTATTATTCCGAGATTTGGTACTTCACATGCTATAGATTCATATATTCTTTTGTGTTGTGAATGTATACTGCATGTGGAACTTTGTATTAAACCCATTTATTATATATATGAAGATGGAGGAGTTATTGTCATTGTATAGTGAATGTTTGTTCTTTTAGGGGTTCATGTTGAATTATTTCGGGGCGTGACACTATATGCCCTCCCCAAGATGTAATTTTCCAATGAAATCCACCAACAAAAAGGAATACGCCCAAAACTACAAAAAAGAAAAAAAAGTGTAATAAATTAAGCTTGAGTCTCCATAGAGCCATTTGTACATCCTCAAAAGTGCACTGGTTTCTTTCTCTTTGAAGGCACCACACTAAACACATAGGAGCTTCCCTCCAAGCCTTCTTCACCTTCTTCGTGTGGCACCCCTGAGCCGAGCAATCCTAAAGCTGATGCATAGTAGCTAATATAACCCACCACCCACCAAATATAGAAACCAATAAGCTCCAAAGTTCTCTAGCTACATCACAATGAACTAACAAATGATCCACCTACTCCTCAACAAAAACAATCCCATTTTCCCTTGATTATCTATTGTGAGGATAGCATCCAAGGCCCGTGTCCAAACAAAAAAATGCTACTTCGATGGAAACTCCCAATTTTCATACATGATTCCATGGTAAGGTCTTGCCTCCCATACTACTTAAAATGGAGTAGAAAGATTTAACAGTGAACTTTTCCCCTTTGCCTTTCTACTTTAATTCATCTTCCCCAAGCCCACTATTTTGACATTATATAATTTCTCCAAGAAGCTAGCAATTTGCTTTTACCCCAATTCTGAAAAGCTATTATAAGGGAAGCTTCCTAAACCACACTTGTCTTAATCAAACACAATGGCATCTTTATTGATCGTAATTCTAAATAAATAAATAAAAGTTAAGGCCCACTCATATTATTCTTTTAACAAGAAAAAAAAAGGAAGGGGAGAAGTTAGATATAAATAACAGTAATGATAGTATATTTATCGCTATGTTTGATAGTGACGCTAACATTATTGTAAAGATATTGACTGTTAAATCGATTAGTAATTTATTTTATTTTTTTTCCTTTTGACTACTAGTAGTTGGGTCAACTCATATATTATAAAATATTTTTTATTAATGTTACAATGACTACATTTGTATACCATAAAATGTTTACCATCTTATATGTCACCATTGTAGTGGTATAAAAGGCCCAACTACTTATGTTTGTTACCAATGCAATGGTAACACATGAGATGATAAATAATTTACGATACACAAATGTGATCATTATAGCATTATTGAACATTTTTTGTTTTCACCACAAACACAAACCATTTCTCTATACGCCATCAATTGACATTTCAGCCTTCAAAACAAAAAGAAGATGAAGACATGTACACAACAAATGGCAGAACTATCATTAAAAACAAGGATTAGCAAATTCTTCGACAAACTTTCTATTTGGGGAGGCCATTTCCCATTTTCTTTTGGAGGACTATAATAGTAAACCACTACTAACAAAAAGATTGAAAACTTTGCAGGGGCCAAGACTGCCCCGGTGCCCCTCCCTCCCTCTGCCCTAGTGACGATGGCTCCATATAAGGAAATATTGGTTCTTCATATTGAAGGTAGGCTCAAGCTTTTTAGGGCCACCAAATCCAGCAATTTAGTGCAAGAGGCCTCTAGAGGCTAAATGGGATAAAGGACTTTAACCCCAAAGAGCCCTTCCAGAGGTGAACTAAAGTTGGTAGGAAGACGTTGAACTTCATATGAGGGGAAGGGGAGAGGGTAATAGTGTTTTATACTATAAACTATCAAATACTCAAACCTCCTTCCTTTATCGCAATCAAACCAGAGAAGAAGGCGAAGAAGAAAAATATATATATATATATAGCAAGTTGAAGAAGCAACTTGAAGAAGGGGAAGGAGAAAAAAAAATACCTAGCAACCAGCGAAGGATGACAAAGGCCTTGTTTGGGAAGTGGCTATTTTAGAAGCTTTTTGGCTTTTTGGCTATTTTAGTAGGCTATTTTAGTTTTTATGTTTGGGAAGATGAGATGGATTTTTATTTGAGTTGTTGTATTAAAAAATGTGTTGAAATGATATTTGAAATTAAATGACAAATTTGTCCTTAAGATCACATTTGCCAAAATTGATGTAAAGGGGCAAAATCGTAATTTAGCAAGTGATGGAACAACTTGACAAGGTTACACTGTCCCACGGCAGCCCTATTTATTTATTTATTTATTTTTTAATAAAAGGGGTTGGTTTTGGAACTTTTTGACTTTTTTTTAGTTTGAGGCTATTTTAGCCTCAAACCATTCTTCCCAAACACCCCCCCGAAGAAGAAGAAGAAAAAAGGAAAAAGAAAAAAAAAGAAGGTCGAATTGAATACCCAGCAACCGGCAACCAGCGAAGAAGAAGAAGAAGAAGAAGAAGAAGAAAAAGAACTTACCTCAATCGAAGTCGAAGTCGAGAGAGACGAGCCCAGAGGAAGAGATGACACAGATTTCTTTGATAGATTAGGGATTTGAGTCGACTGATTTGGGTTGAGTTGCATTGTATGAGTTGTAATCTTATGTGGTTGGAGCCTTTCGAACACAAATCAGAGCCGTTAGATCAAAAAAAAAAAAAAAAAAAAAAAAAAAAAAACCCACTTGGGCTCGCGTCTTGCGCCTTTCAACGCCTGGCCAAGTCGTGGCCAAGGCGCACGATTTATTAAATGCTCCTCGCCTTGGGTCCCTCCAGGCGCACTGCTTGCGCCTCGCTGCGCCTTGCCCCTAGGCACGCCTTTCACAACACTGGTTGGCGGTGAAGCAAGCAAATGTCTCATTTTGTTCATTGCAACAAATTTTATAGCAAAATTAATGAAATAGAAAAAGAATGATTCAAATTAAAATAATCTGAAAGGTTCCCTTCTAGCTGTCAACTGGCTGACAATAGCATCCAATGTTGCATTAATGATTTGTTTGTCGTCTGCTATTCTCTTTCTAAATACTAGTGTGTGTTTGAGCATGATTTTCCCCACTTCCCAGTAGGTTTCCACTTGTCTCAACAAAAAGCCCCAGATCATGTTTTTTCATTTTTATTTTTTCGTGGCAGTGTTTTGTGTCACAATTGGCTTTGCATCTTGACTCTAATTTTTTGTTATTCAATTCATTGTTATTATTTTTTATTTATAAAAAAAGAATATTTTAGTGGGTGTTAGGCACATGAGGCTCTCATATACTGGAAGATTGATAATGCTGTAACATTTTATTACAGAAATTTTAACATAAAACAGCTGATCATTATATCTTTCCAAACAGTGCTGTGCATGATACAAAAGGTTCATCGAAGAGCTTTCCGAAGCATGAGACACGGCATGTTTCAGAGCATAAGGTTTGTATCTATAGTACAATTACTGTACTTTTGCTGTGCACTAATAACAAGAAGATTGAGCAATATTTAGCATGCTTTCCATCTAACTCAAACTGTTTGATCATATTCTGTAGAATGTTGCCAGATGTGCAAGATTTAGTCCTGATGGAAGGTTTCTTGCAACAGGGAGTGCAGACACATCAATTAAGCTCTTTGAGGTGTTGACCCTTAGCCTTGTTTGGATGCAGCTTTTTACTATCTTTTGGTTTTATCTTGTAGCTTATTTGTTAACAAAATCTACATTTGACAAAGAACTTCAGCTGGTCCCTTAATCATATGACCAATCTTTTGTTTGACATACACCCAATTTAACTCATACACCGTTACAATTTCTTTTGCAGATATCCAAAATAAAGCAAATGATGCTGCCAGATGCAAGGGATGGTCCTGTGCGACCTGTCGTACGGACATTTTATGACCATTTACAAGTAAAGCTTTGTTAACATGTTGAATGGTTGTTCTTGATAAATGGCGATTGCTGTGGAAATTTCCATTATTTTTTCCTCTCACCATCAACAATCTTTTACCTAGTCTGTAATAAATTAGAACCTCTGTTGTGGAGTTTACAGTGATTCTACCAAGCTGAATTTAATTGAGAGTTGATCTTTGAGTATACAAGTGGACTCTGGTTTTGTTGGTGAATCCTTTGACACAGTTTTCGCCATTTTGTTTTTTAGGACAATTGGATGATGTGTCCTCATCTATCCTATTTTGTTTAATGCTTTGCTGTTATCACTGCAGCCAATAAACGATTTGGATTTTCATCCTCAAAATACTATACTAATAACTGGGGCCAAAGATCACACAATAAAGTATGACACTTTTTGACTAGTTTACCTCTTTTATTTCTAATATTAAAATCTCTTATTGTTTATGCCCGCATATATTTTGTATAATTTTGTGATGCACATTTCAGACAATTCTCATCTCCTTTTAGACCTATACATAGAGCCCTAATATGCAGTATGTAAAAAATTTGATTGCACTCACAGGTTTTTCGACTTTTCAAAAACAGTAGCAAAAAGAGCATTCCGAGTTATCCAGGTTTGTATGGTTTACAGATTGTATCGTGTTTCTGGAGCATGGGTATAGAATTTGGGACTTCTTGACAATTTAATGGCTCTTTGTTTTTTGTTTTTTTTTGGTTGTGTTGTTTCAGGATACTCACAATGTGCGATCTGTATCTTTCCATCCATCTGGAGATTTTGTTTTGGCAGGTAATTATAATCTTTACATTGACCATTCTGAATTACTATATGATATGTTTGATTTCTGGCACTGCATATTTATCGGCGATTTTTCTAAGCAACATTAGAGTTCCATGGATAATCCATATTCTAGTTGAGGTGTTCATAAAAAAGCCTCTAAGTTTTAGGTACTTAACGCTTTCCACTTGGAAATTGTTGATTGTCATCCACTTTTCTCTTGCTATAAAGCTGATTTGAGCTAAAATGTATAGAGATATAAACATCAACAACATTTATTTCATTCATCCCAATGTATCAACAACACAAAAATTCAAATATAAGTACAAGTATTAAAGAGATGACCAAAATAATTTATAGTGGTTCAATGAATTGCCCACGTCCACTCCTAGCCTCCCTACTTGTGTTAATCCACTAAACAAATGGGTTTTCACTAGGGAATTCAAAAACTTTACATCCACTCCTTCAAGGGTTTTTACTAGGCTACTCTCAAACCTCTACCACAATCATACAATGGGTTTAGGCTCACCCAAAAGCACAACCTCCACAAACACAAATCCTACACTTCACTAGATTTTACAAACTCTAGAAATTGGGTTTCAGCAATGTAGTTTCTATGCGAGACAAGTATGGTGTGTGCAATGTTTTAAATAATGGTGGCAGTTACCGTAATGGTAGTGGTAATGCTGACGCGGTTGCAGGTGTAACAGCCATAGTGTAATTGTAGAGGCAACCGGAGTCGTAAATTTTTTAATTCTTTGCACAACTTTAGGAAAACATATTGATACGCATGTATTTATTTCAGAATCACATTTAGTGAGGTTCAAAATGATTTTTAGTATTTTTGTTTATTTTTAAAACATGATCCAATATATACTCATTTTTATATTAGTTTTAAGTTGCTATGGAGAATTTTCCTATTATTGAATTTGTTTAATTTTGTTTACTTTATTATTAATTATAATTATGAATAACTTTTCCGATTTGTTAAGAAAAAAAATGAAGTATGTTTAATATTAAAAATAATAGTCTCATAAATAGAAGCTCAAAATACAAAATGTCAACATAATAATGTAAAAGTACATAACATGAAATCTAAATTTTGTTGAATAAATTTAACATAAGAGAAATAGATATAAGTTCATATTCAAATATAATAAAGTAAAAAAGTAATGAAAACATAATGAAAGAGAAAATAGCAATATATACAAAATTTATTCAAGAAAAAAAGAAGCGAAATGGTCGTAACGGTGTTGTAGCGGCAATGTAACGGACACTACGGCCTTTATGTAACGGTGGCGGCTGTTATGGTCGTGAATTTTTGTCACACCGCTATAGCGGCTGTAACCGGTAGCAGTAAGTAACCACCATAACCGTTATGTAACGGCGTTACGTAACGGTTGCAACCGCTTCTTAAAACCTTGGGTGTGTGTCAATATGTATAAAGTACACTATAGGGATGAGTACTATACCTTCTGCAAGTAATGAATTCCAAGACTCCCTTAGAGCAAGCTCTTCCAAAACTTGTATTGAAGATTTGAAGGCTACACTCCCAGTCCAAGGCAGAATTCATACTCAAGATGCATATAAAGGTATATATGAGTTATAGTATAGCTCTAGGTGCCTTCCACTCATTAGGAAACCTGAAATGGGAGTGTTGGGGTGTATATATGGCCTTTTTTATTTTGAAAGTTTCTGAAGCTTGGTTGACCTTATGCCGTCATGGTTGGCCACTAACCACTATGGTCAATCACATCTATCCACTTGAATGGCCAACTGAATTATGGTCTCCCATTTTGGGCTCTTGGTACTCTCACTATGGTTGACCCTATCCATCAGGTTGGTTGACTGTACTGTGGGACTTAGACCACTCTTTGGACCTTCCAATGGTCGACCACACTCTGTAGCATGGTCGACCAAGCTGACAAACTTAGGCTTACTTAGCCCAACTAATCCTATCTTGGTCCCCGTCTTGTCCAAAGCTTTGTTTCATGCTGATGAACTCTTCCGTAGTAGTCGTTTAATGGCAGTGAAGATCTCCCATGGCACTTCAAGCTTGCAAGTTGATGTAGACAGTCCAATGAGCTTTCCATGGTGGTGGCTTTAGTTTTACCTTACATATACAAGTCAGGAAATTGTCAACCTATGCTAGCACTAATAACACGAACAAGCTTCTTAAATTATTGCGACCTGGTTTTTGATCCTCCATTTGTTTGGAATGACTTGATTGCTAGAATAAATGGTGAAAATAATTGCAAGTTTAAAGAGAGATTTAGCAGCAATTGTTTGGTTATTGCTACAGGAAGAGAATTTCTTGCAGAGTATGATGTTTGACAAAATGATGAAATATGCCAATGGTTTGAAATCTAGACCACTTGTGAACTGGAAAGGTGACCCAGGTTTAAGGGTTTGAGGCTCAAATTATAAATGAACTAAAAATAAACTGTGATGCCATAATAACATTATTTGATATTAATTAGTAAACTAAAATATTACGTAATTACTAAAACTAAAGAAATATATTGGAAAAAACTTGTGAAACTTTGGCATTTCTATACCAACTTTCATCAATCTCCACACACTGACAACATCACAATGATGTAAAATGACAATTTAAAAAAATCCTAAACATCTTTTTACTTTTATATATATATATATAAATTTTGTCTTAGGAAAGTTTGTGTTAATAACCAATTCATTTGCTGAAAAGATATGATAATATCAAATTTCAATAGTGTAAGGCAGCACATTAATTCCTTGCAATGAACTCACATACGAAAGTGTTCTTTGTATTCCATAAAATTGAATCGTACCTTACAAATTGAAAAAAAAAAAACACAGTAAGATTGGCCCTCTCCGTAGCGCTAGGGTGAGCAAGCTAGTCTTTGATTCCTTCCTAGTGGATTGTGATCGATAGACCAAGCCGAGTTCGCTTTCGCTCTTCCTGGGTGTGAATTTCTGCCTTTAGTAGGGACACCAACATATGTTTTGGAGAAGAATCTCAGTACTATATGACAAGTCACCACCAAGCATGAAATTAAGGAAGCAAAAACCCTCCTTTGCTTAATTTTATATTTTAAGAATTTCATTTTTTGAAACTTAAATGTCTTCAAATAGAGGATGGTGAGAGAGAGAGAGTCTAAAATAAGAGATATTCTTGAAACAAAGCAATGAAACTGAGGGTCTGGGAGAACATATAGATTGTACACAACTTGCATATATACTCGTACATGTTGCTGGCATAGACAGAGATGGACAGACACACACATACAGAGAGGGTTTCGAGGGAGGGTCATCAGTTCTCTGCACAGAGGGGGGGTGTCTGCACAGAGGGGGTGTGTGCCTCAAAAGCTTCAGAGGTTTCACTTTGAAATATAGTGAATAGTGTCAAGTTTAAACATAGTTGTATTTTATGGACACTAACCGTCGTGATACAACAAAACCCGTACTGGGTCATTTGAGTCAGCAAGTAAAATGACAGGCTAATGAATTTCCTCTAAATTTGATGTAGCATGATTTTAAGGGGTTTGAAAGAACTGGAACTCGTACCAGTTGATGGTCCAAACTGTTGGAACGGCTGGTCTGGTGTTGATTTTAACATTAGATATGCCTGATTCACTTAATTTTTTCTTGTCCTGGAAGAACTTTCTCCGGTCAGGTGGCCTATATATGGGTCAATCCGGAATCCTAAATGATAGGTTGGGATTTGACTTTTCTTTCTAGCTTACTCTGCTGAATAGTTTTTTCTTCTTCTTCTTGTGTTATTGTTTTTTTTTTTTTTTTTTTTTTTTTTTTTTTTTTTTTTTTTTTAGGGTTTCTTTTATTATTTCTTTCAGCAAGCATGAAATTTGATTTCATTCTTATCCATTACATTTTGGCTAGGAGGTTCAATTAAATGTCAGGTTTAGTATTTTTCTGGAATTCCTACATTTTTGTGTACCTTTTCTTCTGCTAATTGCTGGCTGACTTTGTGGAAACATTTACAGGCACTGATCATCCTATTGCACATTTGTATGATGTCAATACTTTTCAGTGTTACCTAACAGCAAAAGACCAAGATATTGGTGTTAATGGAGTCATAAATCAGGTATGGTTACACTTGTTTTTCTTTCTTTTCTTTTTTTTTGGGTGCCAAAGAAAGAGGTTATCCTCATCCAATATGAACACAAGGTCATTAAGGCAATTGCTTTTGATTCGGTAATGCAGGTGAGGTATTCATCGACTGGTGGCATGTATGTGACAGCATCTAAAGATGGTGCTATTCGGATATGGGATGGGGTAACTGCCAATTGCGTTCGTTCTATAGTTGGTGCACATGGTACAACAGAGGCCATCAGTGCAAATTTTACAAAGGATCAAAGGTAGAACTATATAATGTCTCTAACATGCGTGTCTGTTTGTAATAACTTGTAAGGATCAAAGGTAGAGCTGTATAATGGCTCTAAGATGTGTTTCTGTGTAATAACTCGTAAGAATGATGACCTTTTGAATATTAATTATAGTGCTGATATAGATCGTGAAGTCAGTGTCTACCTCGAGTTGAAATTTGTTCAAGAGTTTAGTTTCTTTAGGATTTTATTTTTATTTTAGATTTCTTAGTTCATATTTGATTTCAAATTGCTGGAGATCGTGAAAGAGCTCCATTTGGCTTGGAGTGGAGGTCAGGTGGGTAGGCAGAGGAGAAGGGCTTGGGGGTTGGTTCTGTTACTGCTTATGTGGTGATTTGGGATGAGCAGAATAGAAGAGCTTTTGATGGCTTGGAGAGACCCGTGCATAAAATTAAGAGTATTTTTTTCCCTTGTATAGTTGATTCTCAGGGTTGGTTACCCCGTCCTTTAACCAATTTTTAGATTTTGCGGAGACATTCAAATGGATTTTATAGCTTCTTTTTTGTATATGGTTGAGGTGTCCCCTTGGCGTCTTTTCTTTAATAAATTTTTACTTGTCAAAAAAAAAAAAAATCCTTATTAGTTTCCCAAATGCTACATCAGGCAGTTTCATAGTCACTGGGATGTAATTTGGATTTTCTTACAATTTTACTGATTAAAGCATGAACTATTGAAATACAAAAATGTCTATTATAGACAACAGGGCACTTTTATGCTTTGAATTTTGATGCTGTGATTGCATCTTATGCTCTTATATACTGGTTTTGTGGCATGACTGAATTGCTGAGTTGGCTAGGTTTGTTCTCTCCTGTGGAAAGGATTCTTCTGTGAAGCTCTGGGAAGTTGGCACTGGAAAATTGGTCAAACAATATCAAGGAGCCACACATACGCAGTTGCGATGCCAGGTATGTTCTGGGCCTCCTGCACAGCCTTCTTTGGAGAATGTATGCATGTCATTTGCACGTTTGCATGCATTTTTATGTAATCTTGGTTCTGTCGAGTCTTCTATACTGTCAAGAAAAATGTATTTGGCTATGCATGTTAGAAACATTTTCAACGCCATTTGCAATCATCCTTTTCATGATTACTACTGCAGAATATGATGAAGGATACAACTAATGTGAAAAATGTTCTAGTTGTAATTTATGTTAATTTTTAAGATTAGCTGGAGAACGGAGATGTTAGATATTTGACAATGTATTCTTGGCATTTTGAATGTAATACTTCCAATATACTTTGAGAAAGTTTTCTTATAAGAATTCTGTTTCACCTACGATTATCAGCTGGGAGGACATTCGTTCTCTGTGTGAGTCCTGAAGTTGCTATGATGGTTACGGAATTTGATTAAGGTTAATTGAGTGATTTGCTTCTAAAAATAATTCCAGTTTAATTTTAATCAAAAATTTTAACTAGCCCTTGAATTTCGGAGATCTTGTTGCGATATTCATGAGCCATACCCACTGATGGTGCAGCTTATTGAGCTGCATATATATACTTACAAAATATATATTTTTAAAAAATTGGGAACCTGTAGTGTTTAGTGTAGCTTTTGCTTACAACTTATGAGACAAAAATAACTTAAATGAGTTGGTTATCTAAAAGTTGGAAGATTTGTGCTTTTAGCTTCTACTTTCTGATTATCAATTTTCGAACTACAATAAAACTAGGCCAAACAACCCCATAGTGCTTAACACTGTTTAATTTGATCATTAGCAGACTAATTGTTAAGATGTTTTTGTTTCACACATTCTATTCTGTTTTCTGCCAGCGACAAATGTTTAGATAGGTACATTTAAAAATGATTAAAGTCTAGTCTCACATCACTGTATAAATAAAGAAAAAAAGAAAAAGAAAAGAGAGTTAAGTTTTGGAGACTTTTATGAATCCCATTGGCATTTAAGTGGGTGCTTTGTTATGTTCTCTGCAGGCTGTATTCAATGATACAGAAGAGTTCGTACTATCCATCGATGAACCGAGCAATGAGGTTTGTTCAAGTTCTCCGAGTTGATAGTTCACTATTTATTTCACTCGCTCGGTCTGTGTGTTTTAACTGATTTGGATTACAGATTATCATATGGGATGCACTAACAACAGAAAAAGTGGCGAGGTGGTCATCCAACCACGTTGGCGCACCTCGTTGGATCGAGCACTCACCAACAGAGTCAGCGTTTGTTTCGTGTGGGAACGACAGGTCAGTACGGTTCTGGAAGGAAATGATCTAGATATATATATATATATGGATATGGAAAGTTGGCATCTCTGTTCATAAGTTGCACAATGTGGCACCAAAATGTGTTTCTGGGTAGGAAGTAGTTTTGTAAAACTAATAAACCATGAGAGGAGAGAGACCAAACAAACATTGGAAAAATTTGGAGGTACATTGAAGATTTTGTATTCTCTCCTAATTATTGTCAAATTTAATTATAGTGATTTTTTTTTTCACATTATCTATAATGAATTTTGGATGCTCTGATTGATTAAATTCCTTCATTTATGTAGTAATTCATTGTCTTGGATTATGCAAAATTTCTTTAATTGACATCTTAAGAGGTCTCGTGACCATGAGCGACGGGAGGTTTTGGCTTTAAAAGTGATTTCTTGTAATTTCAAGTTGGAAAATGCTATACATACTAACAAACTTGATTTAAAAAAAAAAAAAAAACCTTAATAATGTGATATGTTGTAACATAACTGAGTAAGAACATTTTATAAAATTTATTAGTTCATATGATAGTTGTCTTTAAAATTTCACTTGAAGTTTTGAGTTAGGGTTTGCAGATGGAAGAAGCTTGTCTGGTTAAGGTCGAGTGGTTGGCTCTCCATAACAATAAGAAAGGGCCATGAACAAAAATTGAGTAGCTGCAAAATGGGAACAACAATATCAGTTTTCTCTCTCACACACGTAGGCATGCATGAACATGAACACAAACACAGGTCTAGTAGATTAAAATCCCACAATTACCCAGTAAACACCTGCAAAACAGACAGAAAATAGCCACACACAATTCTGCTGCAAAGACATGAACAGTCATGAGTTCTGTAGAGATATATTGCATATAAATGCAATCAATATGCTCCAAAACCCACACAAACCACACCCATAACATCCTCTCTCCCTCCCCTCCCCACACATAAAGTGACTCAACTGAAAAAAAAAAGAAAAAAAAAAGAAGACATAGAAAGCATTTACAATCCATGGATCAGATCAGTAAAAGGGCTAGAAGACTTGACTCAACAACTCAAACAAAGCCTCAAAAGGTAGAAACGGAATCAGTGTATAATCTTCTTGTACATTGTTTTTCATTCCATTGATTATGGCCTAAGACAAATCAGCCATGCAACGAAATGTCCTGGTCAAGCTTGGATTTCAGTTGAAATCTGAATGCAATGAGCTGAGCAAACCTCAGGCTAATCCAAGCTCAAGTATCCGGTTCATGCCTAGTTTTTGTGTGCTAGCCTGTTAGGCAACCTCATGCTTGATCCCAAGGTGAAGAGAACATATATTTATTAGCCTAACCAACATATCCATTTCTGTGTTGAAGTCCACAATCCACTCATCAAAAGGAAACAGAGAGAACATTTTCCAGAAGTGTTAAAAATGTTTTGCATGGGAAATATGAATATACAAAAGATTGAGTTAATCAAGTGAAAAAGAAAAAAGCAAAAACGAAAAAGAACTCTTCAACACTTTCATAACTGTAATGAGGCGTAACCTGGTTTTGGCTTAAGTAACCAATCAGAAACTACTACCGTGAGCATCAGTTTGGGTAATCTGATTGGTGAACAAACTTGATTTGAGCTTTTTAGTGAGCTCAACCATTTAGTTCAGCAAACAGCACTGATCTGGCCAACTCCTATTAAAACCAAAACTCCACAATATTAGCCACCCTCTTATGTCTACAAATCAGCATAATCCTTATATCTGTTGGAGCTTATGTGACTTGCACAATTAGATATACAGGAGCAAATAGTTTGGTGGAACTTCATGCACACTGTTATGCAATCTATTATGAACACATTGCACACTTAATTGGCATCCCAAGTTACAGGATGTTTCTTGTGTGCGCGCGACTGTGTATGTGTGTGTTTTCTTTGCCTCATTGGTCAATATTATTGAATGTCCTCCTAGAATTAGATTAAGTGGAAACCCAACTAAATATGAATATTGCTGGATGCCCTCCAGATTTAGTACAATCAATCACGGATTCAAGCAATCATTTGTAGTAGTAATTTCTGAAGTTTGATGGTATTATGAAGCAAGAGATGTTTCTTGCCATGAAAAAAACCATAGAAATTCATGTTGGACACAACAAAACAAGAATGGAAAGAACAATCTATCTTGCACTGCATTAGTTCTAAGGGTGCCAAAGAGTAAAAGTAAAACAACAAGAAGCATAAAAAACAAATGAACAAAGTCCTACCAAAAAAAAAAAAACGCTGCTAAATTTGATCGTGCCACTTGATAATTGCGTCAAAATACAGGCACAACTTCGGGATGGAAGATCAAATGGCCCTGCGATTCATCCGTTTTGGTTTCTTCACAAAACTTAATCGAATTTGCTTAAGGCGTCTCCTCTTCCTTGCCATTTTCTCCGGCAATGTTTCCCGTTTCTTCTCTTTCTTCACAACTATAGGTTTCTTCACGAATCTAGGATCCAACTTATAGGCTTTGGGAGTTACTGGAACCCCTCTGCTTTCAGCTTCCTTGAAAAGGGCATTTGCCTTATCCACACGGCTGTGAGCAACCAACTTCCCCATCAACAAATCATAAGTTTTGATGCCGGGATCACAACAATCCTCCTTCATTTTTGCAAAAACACTCATAGCATGATCAATTCTCTCAATTCCACACAAAATCTTTATAAACTCATAATATGTCTTCCTATCAAGAGCTTCACCAAATCCTGCCGATTTCATTCTATCGATCATCTCATCTCCCTCGCCAATCCTCGCAGCCTGATACAAACTCTTAATTAGAACAAGAAATGTAGTCTCATCTGGGTAACATCCCCACTCACCCATTCTATCAAACAGGTTCATCGCATCTTCGGTTTTGCGAATTTTACACAAATTAGTAATCAAAACATTGAATGTTTCCACATTGCGTGGAACACCTGCAACATCCATATCAACCAACACCTTTTCAGCTTCGGATTGAATCCGAAAAGGGTCTTTTTTCCTACAAAGCTTACAAACACAATCAAGAATAGCATTATAAGCCACAGAACCAATCTCGAACCCTCCTCGATACATCTCCCCAGCCAACCTCCTCGCCTCATCGAGCTTCTCATCGACACACCACCCTTTAATCAACACATCACATATATATTCATCTGGAAAGAACTCATTTGCCAAGCTCTTCACCATTTTCTCAGCATAACTCGCAAACCCATGCTCACATAACTTTGTAACAATCAATTTCAGTGACTCCCTATTTCTAACAAATCCATAATCTTTCTCCATATTTTCAAAGAAAGACACGGACTGTGTCGGCCGACCGGCTCGAACCAGCCGATCGACCGACGATTCTAGGGTTTTCGGCCCCGAGACGCCGCGGCCATCGACGAGGACTTCGTGGATTGCTTTGAAATCTTTGCGGCGGCCGAAATAATTGACGAAGTACGAGAATGTCTCGTCGGAGGGCTTGAAATTGGGTCTGTTCAGTACCCATTTGTGAAACCCTAGGACTGTGCGGCCAGCATTTGGAGAGAGATTTAGGGTTTCGAGGATTAGGGAAGGGGTTAGAGTGATGTGCGAGAAATAGAGATCGAGATGTTGGGTTATAGAGAGTGAGTCTTCAATTGGGTCCTTGAGAAGCTCGGAGGAGAGAGATTGGGCGATCTCTGTTTCTGGGTTGGTGTCAGAGATAGATGATATGGGTCTGGAGGAGGAGAAAGAGAAGGGTAGAGAGAGAAAGTAGGTGGCGGAGTGATGGTGGTGGTGAGGTGGTTGTGAAGGAGAGAGAAAGGAGGGTTTGGAGAGAGAGGGGCGATGATGAAGAAGATGATGAGGTTGTTGTGTTGAAGTTGAAGTTGAAGATGAAGATGAAGAGGAGCGAAGGAAGAGGCCTCGGAGCTGTGTCAATGGCGTCGAAGGTCGCCGCATTTTCAGAGAGTTCTAGAGAGAGAGTGTGTGTGATGTGAGTGAGTGAGTCTCTCTTTCTCTCTCTACTGGTTCAGCTTCGTCTCTAACACTTCGAAGACCTAGAGGAAGCAGCACTATGATGTGAAATGGTTCATTGTTAGTCAAGTGTGGTCCTCCTACATGCCGTTGGATTGTTTGGTTTGGAGGAAAATGAGGACTAACTAATGTTAGGGACTTAGGGTTGTTTGAGGTGTTCTAAATAAGTATATTTTTTGTTTTTTTAGATTAAAAAGTTGAGGTTGAAAATATGAATATTTAGGTTAACTTTTTGACTTTTTATGGAAAAATGTGTAATAAAAAATTATAAAAATTAGTTTGTAAGGGAAAATTAGAATTGGGAGTTGTGCAGCCGTAATTGTTGACTTTTGATGAATAGTGATAACTTTTTAACTTTTTGACTTTTTAACTTTTTTTGAACTTCCCAAACTTGGCCTTAGAAAAAGGGATAAGACTTCTCTACAGTTTATTTTGTGAATTGGATGGTGCTATTGAGTTTGTTCGACTCATTACGAGTTTTATTTTGATAATTTGAATTATATGTAAAACTCGTTAAATATTTTATCTTTGTAAAAAAATCACGTTGATCGAATATCAATATACCCTTAATCAGATAATATTTTTGTCAATGGTAAATATAATTTTAAAAATAAATTATTGACAAAAATGTGTTATGATAATATTCGAATAAAGTGAATTTTTTTATAAGGATGAAATATTCAACGAGTTCTAAATATTGAACGGTTCAGATTATTGAAATAAAACCCATGGTGTGTCCCACGGACCCAACAACGCCATCTAATTTACAAAATGAACTGGAGAGAATCTGTAACCCTGAAAAAATTATTCCAAAAAAATAGTGATTGATGGAGATTAATTTTGAAAGTATATTCTATTATATAAAAGTTGAATATTAAATGAATTGAAACTAATTCAGGTAATGCGCAATCACAGAAATAAAATAATGTAAAATATATATTTTTGTATAAAAAATATGACAATATTATTTTTTTATTTATGTAAGTAACAAATTATTAAAGAAAATGAGACTAAGTGTTATATGAATTAAAAATTTTAAAAAACTTAATGTAATTATGTTAAAAAAGTGGGGTTTACTATATTTTTTCTAAACCTTAAAGAGGTCATTGTAATTTACCTAAAATTAAATTTAGATCCACATTAATTTCAGAATAAATTTCTTAACATTATTTATGATTTTTTTTTTTTTTGGTGTGTTAAATTATGAAGGAAATAGAATGATAAATATTTTTAATATCAATAATCCTAGAGTGAACATTTTTTATGTTTTTTTTCTTTTAATTTTTTTAATATTATTTTTCTTTGGTGTCATCTTATGCAACAAAACTTTAAGGTGATTTTTTATAAAGTCAGGGTCAAAACTGTCTTTCTCTCTTTTTTTTTTTTTTGGTTTAACTTAACTATTTTTATATAGTACATCAATGGCTAGTCTTTCAACATTTCTCATTTGCAGGTGTGCGTCAAGAAGCAAACTATGAGATCTTGATAATTTTTTTTTTTACTTAATTATAAGCATATTTATGAAAAAAAATGATGAATAATCTCACCAAGAAGAGTAACGTGGTTATGTGTTAGTTTCTATTTCACTTGTAATCAATAAATAACATGTAACATTTTAGTTTATTTTCGGAGCTTTCATTTCTGTTAACTTGCATCTCATAATATATACTACTGTGGCTACCGGCCAATCAAACTCACGCTTCTTCTATGTACCAGAGTGCTGAGAACTTATATGGTCAGGGTGTGTTTGTTTGGACGGACTGAATAAGAAGGGATTGTAATTTAGTAGACTGTTAGTTTTGGGATACATTGTCCCCGACTATTTGGTTGGATTGGATTTGTATCCTATGTTTGTTTAGTCATGGGATTAGATGTCTGCATTGAACTATTTTTAGTGAATCCAATGTTTAGTTAGACAGACTGGATAAAGATAAATGTTCAAAAGATTATTTTACCCTTGTAATTTATAATTTTTATTTAATATATAATTTTAAATTTGTAATCTATAATTTATAATTTAACAACACTAAAAAATAATTTATTATTTTCATTTAAATTAAATTTATAATTTATATTTTTTATTTAATATATAACTTTATATTAACGACAATAAAAAATAATTTTATTTAATATATAAGTTAAAGGGCAATGCACCAATAAATCTCAAAACATGACCTTGTGAACCATTTAGTCTTGTGTTTAAACTTATGGACTGAGAAGTCCCTTGGAGATAAAATGACCTATTTGCACGTGATGTTAGCACATGCCGTGTAGATTTTGTGGGTATTATAGGAATTAAACAATGTTAAAATTACATTTCTACCCAGTAAAGCTTATTATAGGTTGTTTTTGTTTTTCCTCCGTTGTGATAATGATGGAAGAGATTGATATGGAAAAACAGTAGATTTGCGATGTTATCCAGTGAAAATGGGATTCAATCACATTGCTGGGTTTGGTAATGTTAACCCGTCATTCTGAGTTTTCAATTTGTTATTTGGGTCATTGAAATCCTAGAAATACGAATCGATGTTTGCTGTAATCGATTTGGTAGACGTTGAAGACTGGTTTTCAATATGTGTAGTTCGTCGGTGTGTCAACAGCGGCGTTGGATTTGTTCTGGGATGGCGTCAGGTATGGGTTTCGGTTGATTCAGAAAGCAACATATTCGCAGAACTTGTATTTGTTTTGTTTTGTTTTTTTTTTTATGTGTATTTGGGATGCATGTTATTTACGCCGATCTAGCCAACATGGGTGACCATGTATGTCTGCATTTATTTTGGATTGGATATGTGTTGGTAATGATTGAGCACTGTGATGTTGGTCTTAACTTTGAACGTGTGATATGCTGTTCAAAGCACTCTTTTTAGATTTCCAAACATGGAATTATATGAATTGTCAAAAAATATGAATGCATTTTAGATGGCGGCTGGTGTGGTGGTGTTGGTGTTAATGGTTATTCGGCTTGGTTGTTTATCAGTGATGTTTGTTTTTGTTATGTAAAGGGGGTCTTGATGTCTTCTTGAAAATGTAAGTTGGGATGCATGTCCGATTTGGTGGTGCGCATTCCACTATGTTTCTCATTAGAAAAGCTCGTTTTATTATTGGTGTTAACATCGATTTTTTGTTTTTGTATGGACTAAAATGTTATGTTCATGTTAGCCGTGGTATTAATGGTTAAGACAATGTTAATTCAGACTATATTAATATAATGAACGCTGTTTAAAATTATTCCCAGGTGACACTAGGCAGCAGACCCCCCGCAGAGTATCTTCGGGAAGGACATGTGAAACTCCTAAAAAATGTGATGCTTCATTCCATATAATCTATGTTGTTGTGGTCCCATCGTTGATGTGATGTTATGAGTGAAGCTGTTTGAAACATAAACGATCAAATGTTACACTACAGAACATGACAAAGTATTGAGTGATTCACATCAGCTTCTTGGTCTTAACAATTCAAAAACCTCACATGGCAAAATATCCCCTCCTAATGTGCTGCATGTTCCCATCACAGGTTGACTGTGTGTTCAACAATTTGTAGTTGTTGATTGTTGCCGATGTGAAAATGAGCAAATAAGTTTCATAAACGCAAAAGCATATTTACCACGGGATTAACGACACAAGCCACAGCCCCATTCTTGCATCCAGAAATTAGGACCCTGAAGGTTGTAAATTAATATTACTATTGAAATGGATGGATAAAAAATTAAAACACCATTGCTGTTACGGTTAATGATAAACACATACATCCATATTAAAATGGTTTTTTGATATAAATGTATCGAATGTAATCCACCCGTGATTACTAAATGTTATTATAATTTTGGGACGTAAAGCCAATAAATTAATGTGCGCTATTGCAACAGCAATACGATTTCCACGTTGCAATAAACCCACATCAACAATTGAAAAACCCTATACCACAAGTCATTGCCAAAAATACACACCCAAAAAAATGTAAAAATGTTACCCCCACCTCCCTCTAAACACAAACCCAACACATCAACAAAGTATAATCTACCCGAATCTCACCAAAAGTGTAAATAGGTAACTCCCACTGGAACAAATCAAAAAGAAATATTCCTTATCAGTTAAATAGGACTAAATGGTTTATAAGAAAAAACACAGGACTAAATGGAGCAACATTCTCTCAATTAGGATTTACCAGTAATTTTTCCTAAATTGAATTTTTAACAACACTAAAAAATTTAATTTATAAGGCCATAATTTATAATTTATATTTTTTATTTAATATATAATTTTAAATTAACAACACTAAAAAAATAATTTTATTTAATATAACATTCTGTTCACCATTGTTTTTTGAAGACGAAAAACGGTGAGTTTTTTCCGGTTGCCAACCGTTTTTGTCATACCGTAACTGTACACAAGAGGGTGTTGTGTTTCTTTGTTTAAACTGCTGTGGGTTAGATTTTCAAACAAGTGTGTGCTTGTTTATTTTATTTTATTTCCCCCATTCCCCCCTCCAATGTCTGTCATCTATCAGTGGGATGGCTTCGTTTAATTACACCATTTTCATGGATAGAAAAAGTGTTGTTGTTATGTTTTTCCTGGGCATGTTGTCATTGTAATGGGTTCAACAAATGTGTCACAGGTATGGACGGAGGGATATTGTTGGTGTGTTCGTATGGTTTAGTCAATGTTCTTATTCGATTGAATCAGGATTCGTCATTTGTACAGATTGTTGATGATATTTGTAGGAAGTTTGATGGATTGATACCAGGTGCGGTGTGTTTGGTGTTCGATGTTCCCGGGTACAAGAAGTTTAAGGTGGATAGTGACGACGATATTCAAAACATGTTGTGCCTTGCTATGTCATTTGGAATAAATCACATTGAGGTCCTCATTCAGGAAAGTAGTGTTGGTGTGGGGGTAATTGTGGTGTGGTGGATTCCACGGAGGATGGGGTACTTTCCGGAGATGCTAGTCGGAATGGTTGCGTGGATGACCAAATGGACTTATTACCAACATACTGTCTGAACAGATCGAAGACGTTTTTGTCAGCGCAATGGGCGTATGGGATTACCCATGTGGGACAATGTTTTGATGGTGGCATAGCTGAATTCCGTGAAGTTCTATGTAAGTATGCCGTTGAACGTGAATTTCAATTCAAGTACATTAAAAATGATTCCGTTCGAATTACAGTAGTGTGTAAGTTTGCAGGTCAGTTCATGCGAGGATGTTACCGTCAACTGGGGTGTTATGTATTAAGAGGTTCGATAGTGTGCATACTTGTGGTGCTGCTGTACGTACTTGTAGAAACCCTCGTACGGGGTCTGATTTGGTGTCTGCTGTTGTTGCGGATCGAGTGCACGATCAGCCATTGACGCGTCCTACCGATGTTGTGTTTGACTTGAAAAACGAGTATGGTTTGGACATTAGTTACCGGGTGGCATGGTTGGGTGTTGAGAAAGCGAGGGGCGAAGTGTACGGGGATCACGCTACGTCTTTCGATCAACTCAGGTGGTATAGCGATTGCGTTATGTAAAAAAATACAAACAGTTACATTAACCTTGAGTTTGACCAAAAAACAGGGAGGTTTGTTAGGTATTTTATATCATTTCGCGCTTGTATAGATGGGTTCAATCATTGTCGACCTTTGTTGTTTTTGGATGGAACATTTCTGAAAGGTAGGTTCAAAGGTAATTTGCTTGCGGCTACTGCTAAAGACGCCAATCAAGGTAATGGTTTCATTTTGCTTTCATTTGCAAAGTTAATGGTAATTTGCTTTTATTTCTCAAGATGTGTCGTCATTATTTTGTGTGGAAGTTGCACAACTTTACTCATGGCAAACTATATTATGTTGTATATTTGGTCGTAGGATTGTCTCTGGTAGCCTTTGCTATTGTTGATTCTGAGAATTCATTCAATTGGGAATGGTTTCTTTGTAATTTGAAAGAAGTTGTTGGGGGCAGGCGGACATTGACTTTCGTATCTGACCGTCACGTCGGATTAATACACTTTATACCAATCATTTTCCCTTCGGCGCATCATGCATTTTGTTTGTTGCATCTCCAAATGAACTTGCGGGATCGAATGAAATATGTTAATGCATCGCATAAAATTGGTTTGATGCGCAAGTTGCGGGAATGTACCTACGCGCCCACTGTTACTTGCTTTAATGAGAAATTGGAGGTATTGAAGAAGTCCAACCCAGCTGTGATTGAAGATTTTCTTAAAGACTTGCACCCAAAACATTGGTCTAATGCGTATTTCAGGTACTTCACAATCTGCTTAATGGGTTATGGTGTATTGTTAATTCCCGCATGTTTTTTTATAATATGTTGTCGTTATAATTTATGCTCTCCGTAAACGTTTACTTTGGTCCTTTTTTTAGTGGCCGACGGTACGGGGAGATGTGCTCAAACGCCGCCGAATCTTTTAACAACTGGGTAGGTCAGGCCCGTCATCTTCCTATTACTAGATTGGTTGATATGATAAGGGGTCAAATCATGGAGCAGATGTCAGAGCGCAGAGTTAAATGCACTAAGTGGGTCGGTGTAATATGCCTGAAGATGGTGAAAAAATTGGTGGCAGCGTTCAATGACAGCAGGGCATGGTGTGTGAGTCAGGCTAATGATGATGTGTACTAGGTTCACTCCCACCCATCGATGTTGGTTGATGTCGTGAAGCAGACATGTTCCTGTTTTCAGTGGCAGATTAATGGATACCCGTGTTCCCATGCTGTCGTTGCATTTCGTAATAGTGGGAGAAACATTTATGATTCAATAGATGCTGTATTCTACATTGACACATTTCAAGCTACTTATAGCGGAACTATATACCCCATTCCAACAGTGGAGAGGCCGATGTTTAACCTGAATGAACTTTTGATAGCACCCCCGACAGTCAAGCGTCCTCTTAGTAGGCCCAAACGGAAGAGAATTTCGTCTAAGGGCGAGGTAGTGCAACGTATAAGTTGCGGGCGTTGCGGGAGATTGGGCAATCACAATAGGAAGACATGCAAAGAGCCGTTACAGACGGTTTGCCGTATGATTTAATTTTTTTCGCCCACAACTTGGGGTTCAGTTGGACTACCGTATTTTGTTTTCCAAACTGTTTTTGACATTGTTTTGTAATCAGTCATTTACTTTTTTAAATTGGTTTATTCAAATTGGTAGAATATACACTTGTCTCTAATCCAGGTACCATTTCGGTGGCCACTGTTGAACAATCACACACAGCACCTTCTAACACCCAACCACCGTGGTCATTACATTATGACATCACTTTGATGTTGCTATAGCGTAACAGTAATGGGTGTTGTTTGTTTTCATATCTGTGTACATCATGCCAAACAGTCACCCCAAACCCATTGTTCTAAATAATCGAGAGGCAATTGGTTTTTTATGTTTGGGTGTATGTTTGCAATTCAGTGTACATCTTACAATATATGCACCATAAACCCACTGTTTCAAAAAATTCTAATGCAATGTAATATTACGTTTACAATGAAATGTTGTCTCTACAATTATAATTAAAATGGCAATGGCCAATTATGCTGCTGCCATGGCATATTAACCACGTAATCGATGTGCGCATGTCAACTTAGGTACAGATCAAACCGCGCTTATTCCCATTGTGGCAAAATAGGTTTTCCAAACTCACTGTCAGCATTTAAACTCCTGTGTAGATCATACCATATATATATGCCAAGGACCATCTGTCATTAAGTAACAATGTTATAGCTATGCATATGAAAACCTAAACATATAGTTAACATTTTTAAGGACATTAGCATCACATCTCCACCATACGATAACAAAAGGACGATGCCATACTAGTAGCTGTGAAAGAATTACTTTTTTCGCACCTAAGGTTCAAATCTGATAATATGGAATCCAACAAACTATTTGAATTGCCTACCAAATAATATTAACATTTATGTCCACCCAAAAAACCAATTCTAACCAACGCTTAATGCGTTGGTGCACCATTTGCCATGATAATAAAGTAACATAGGACAACTGCCCAATTTAAAATTTCCCTCCTAACGTTCTGTTCTACCAGAACAACAAAACATTTATGTACGTCCATTAAACCCAAAAAAAAACACCGTAACCACGTTCTTTGCACCTTCTGGAATGAGCAACGTGAACACCTCTTACAATGTTCTACCACGGAGTCCTCTGCCCGGGTCACTCAAGAACATGTCCACCATTGCAGCTCGTAGCCCAGTTGGTGTGAGACCGTCCATCGTAGTATCAACTTCTGCCCCACGAATGAACTGCCTGATGATGAAGCATATGAAAATTCCGCAATCCGACCTGCACTCATGCAAACCGATTCGAACGTCACTTACACAGCACATCGTCAAAACAGTTAACTCAGTCTAATATAACAACTACTTACGACTCTGGGACTTGTTGTGGACAATCCATAACAGATACAAAAGTGCCATCGAAAAGGTCTGGCCCATTCCCATCAGCTGTAACTCTTGGTTTCATAAACTTGTTGTGATGGTCGGCCACCCATTGTTTTTGTTGATTTCTCACATGTTAGTTTATATACATACTGGGTAACATTGAAACAAAGGAAAATTACAATTCATCAACCATGCACATTCAGAGCTCAATCTGTTAAACTCCCATCGCAGGACCACTACAAATCCGAAAAAAATCATATACAAACTACTAGTTGATTTCTGTACTTATAACTTCGAGAGCCTCATTGTGATGCTCATCACGCACTCCACGTCTTGGCCTCATGGAGTTGTAATGTTTCTAATTGCCACTGTGTGAATCGTGTGTCACGACTGTTCAATGGTTGGCATTGTAGATCGGGAATAGTGTGTATCTGCAACCTCGCGCAGCCTTCATGTGTACGTTCAAGTACCTCGTTTGTGACATTGCGCTGCTGTTCCGCATCATATCCTGCACAATTTGCCAAAGCCACCAAAGTCATGTCAGATTTCATTGCAACAAATATTTTTTTCAGTGTTCGTGCACACAAACGCACGTAGCGCTACATACCAAACACACACTAGTGTAAACGTATGTCGTGCCCACATATTCTGGTCTTCCATACATCGTCTTATGCATTTCAGTCAACATAGCAGCGTATGCATCGATTACCTACAACATATGTTACCCATTACAATTTCAGTTCACTATTAATAACATTTTGTAAATTAATGTCCTGTATGTGCTACTACCATTTTCGCACCATCATGTGAGAGTGCATGCATTTACATATTCGTAATGGCGTGTTATTTAATTCATCTGTCATTTCGTCACAGTCACATCAAACACGATATGAACGACACAATGTTTACATGTCCATGTGGGTTTTTTCGTAGGGAAATAAATACATAAATAAAGGGCAAATTATACGACACCAGCTTACATTGCCATGAATGGAATTTTGCTGCACTAGATCTTTGATGCCTGTGAAATGCACTTGTATTCCATTGTGTCCACCGTCCCACATGATTAACCTACACATAATAAACCAAAATTAAGAACAACCATAAAACAACAATTACAACTTCTACATGCCAAAAAACACAACATTCCATACAAACTACCTACCCGTCCCCCTCTAAATTGTACATCCTCTATAGTAGTTGCCTATCTTCATCGTTCAACATGTTCTACACAGTGTGCCTTCTGTGCATACCAAAACCATGCCAGGTTTTACGCTCCACTTCGACGTCCTCAACACTGTAAATCACCCCGGGCTCATAGGATTTACCTAGTCTCATATTCGCACTCAGTTGTTGTCCCCCAAATATGGCAGGATATTCGTAGTCAGACAACCTAAATTCCCGTCTTGGCTTGGTCTTCACCCGTTTGACCAACGACGTCATTTTTGGTCCAAAACTTGTTGCAGCCTTTGCGCCTTCAGAACCAAATCCCATGCCAACCACAGCTGCGCCAACGTTTACATTTCCATCTGACACTGGCTGCTCATTTCGGGGACTGCAGCTACCCTCCATCCCTGCCACAGTCGGACATACATTCCCATGGGCCAAGTCATCCGTTAAATCTTCAATCCCACCTTTGTGCTCAGCAATCTCTAATTCGGTGGTGTCAGCGTCTTTGGCTTGGCCTACAGGACACGTAGAGTGCTGTGCACTTTCGACACTCATGACGTGGCCAGAACCACTCACTTTCCCTGAAAGACTGTTGCTTGGTGTTTGCTGATTTGATCCATCATTGACAACACATTGCGTGACCTCGTGCACCTCAAAATCATCAAGACTATCCTGTATATTGCTTATTTTTGACTCCAATCGATCAACCACCTTACTGAGTTGATCAATTTCAGAATCCTTCTCGACAATCACACTATTTAAGTCTATAAACAAATTACCAGCCTGCCTCCCGAGCAGTTGCTCCATCGTTTCGACACGCTGCTCTAGTTCACGCACCCGCGCGTCTTTACTCTTGATTTCACTCTCCAACTCAGCAATTCTGGCATTACAAAATCTTAACTCATCATTCACCCCCACTTGTTCTTCACCCATGGCTTCACCATCCAGAGTGCTAGCCAGGTCTAGAAGATCCAGGAACAATACCGGCCACACTTCCCCACCTGACACTATCTTCCCACCCACTCTTACCTTGCTGGTTGGTGTACCAGTATTCTTATTCTCATAATCATCTCCACCTTTCATTTTGATGTTACCAGCATTTGGTGTCTCCAGCTGCCAACAATTGAAACTAGGCTCCACGCTGCCCACATGATCCGTTTTAGCAGTAGCCCCACTCCCATCGCACACTTCAGCTGGATCCACATCCATCCTACTTCTACCACTCTCGTTCGGCTCATTCCCAGCAGCAGCCAGTTTAAGAATATGACACTCACTAATTGTCCCAACCAGTTTCCCACACTGCACCTGGGGGTACAGAAAATTTTAAAAAAACTAATGTCAGTGTGTGCTTTGGGAAAAGAAATTACAGAAATGGAAGCGATTTTAACCCATACCTCAATGCAACCTTCTTCCGTCAAATTTATTACTCTCAGCTTTGCCATAGCTGCTGCAAGGTTCCATCAACAAAACCTTGGAGTCACGTTAGGCCGTTCCGAGGTGATGACGTTTGAATGTTCACAAATTAGAAACTGTAATCATAACATAAAACAACCATCAAATATACACTCGTGTCAAACTTTTATTTCATTTTTCATTCAATCATGTATGCGATTGTCACGTTCGTATTGTACGTACCAGCAATGCTACGACACAACCAACCACTTTCTCTGGCCTGTTGTACATCTCATTTAGCGAGCCAATCAATGTGTTCCTTATCATTGCAGTCCAGTCATACTGTCGTAATGTGTCGAGCTTGTTGATGACACGAACAAACACCCAACCTATATGCTCGCCAGTGGTTGAGAAAAATAACTTTGCACAAACATAAAGACACAGCAACTTCGCCACATCTTCTTCATCACGCTCTATACGACCACAGATTGCTTATGCCAGCAAATCCTTTATAACTTTTGAAGATATCCGGGTAACATTCTGACAACGTCTTTGAATGAAATCGGAGGGCCCTTTGCCACCTTGTGCCAAATCCAAGTTCTCCTTCCCACACTGTACCCCAAATATCAACCTGATATCATTATTCTTCAATGGTAACTTAGCTCCACCAACATGGAACTTCTCATTTTTGGGGTTGTATGATTGAATAATGCGACATACCGTTGCATCACACTTCTTGAACACTTTCGGATCAAGCTCGTGAACATGAATAGCATTAATCATAACCCAAAATGGGGTTTTTTGCAGCTGTCTAATGTGTCCTTCACATAATTCTAATTCAAGAACTGCGCTAATTAGTCCTGAAATGTTGGATCGGTACATTAACTTCGACGGATTCACATCAGTTTTCCGAACAGTACTAGCGAGCCCTTTCTGTTTTTTGAATGTCAACTTTGATTGTTTTTTTGTGGCCAGCCGTGTTGACGTTTGTGGTGACCTCATGGCAATGTTCCGTTTATTATTCCTCTTTCCACTGCCACCTGCAACATATGTTACAGGTAAATTACCAACAAC